TGCCTTGGCAGTCTCAGGGCTGTACTGCTCCAGCCGTCTCCTTTGTGTTGTTTGTTTCCCCCTGTCTGTGTTGTTTGTGTGGCTGTCACTCCTGGCTCCTGGCTCAACCTCCACTCACCTGCTGCAATCAGCTGTGCACCCTCCCCGACTACACACCTGCTTTCCATCAAGCCATTTACAACGGCATATCAACGGAGGCTCCACAACCTTTCTCCGCCAGATTGTCAAATATCAGCCGTATCTCCCTTCCGGTCAGCACCGTAGTGTGGAGTTGCATTAGGTAACGCGAGATACGGCTGATACTTGCGCATCAGTTTATGTTATGGATCAATATCAACAGTCCTGCCAGTAACGTTACTATATTATCAATACTACTTTAGTTATAGCCTGATATATGATTGCTAACTTCTTTACAATGTTGTGATGTGACTGACGTTAGCTAACATGCTAACGCCGGTCACTCACCAAGACAGCTGCTCTGTTCTCCCACTGGTTCTCCTCACACCAAAGCTCCATTTCTCTCCGATGGCCGTTATTTTTTCTAATCCTTGGCTGCTCCTGGTCTCTTGGACGCCTAGCAGGCTCATAATTATAATATATGCATTCGAATATATATTTTCAGCCTCTTCTGTGTCAAAACTAGCATTGTGATCCATGTTTATTAATACGTTAGACCGGCCGCTCTCCCCCTTGTTTCCCCCATGTTACGTCACACGCGGGAGGTCACGTGCGGAGGCTTTTTTATGCGGAAGTGAAAATGTCTTAACTAAAACGACGCCAGATGTCACTGTAGTGTATATTTCTGTATATTTTTTGAAAATCTAGTGTATTCATCATTTTCCTACACATTTATTCACTGGTGTCTCTAACCTGCAAGTTGCTCTTTAAAGAAATCATGTCAGTTTTAAAAATGTTTTCCCTTCATCTGCCCTTTACAGAGTGAGATGGGACTGGCCACAGAGCAGCTCTCAAGGCAGCTCATTGATTATGAGAAGAAAGTGAGTATTGTTATTATAATCAAGAGTATACTTTTCAATGGAGACAGGGGGTCATGTTCCGGTCACTTTTTTTATGACAGGTTTATTTGACTACTGCAGTCTCTTAAGACTTTAATGAATTATGTGCAATTGTTGCAAATGTAATTGTGCATGAGACCATTTCAAGAGTTTTAGACTGGCCAGCCACCATTATCCAGAAAAAATAAGCGCATAAATGACAACAAATATTGTTATATTTGTTTAACCACCTAATAATAGTACCGGTATATATGTAATTTGATCTTTCTCTCCATGTGAGTTTGCATGTGTCTGCCACACCTAGTCTTTGCATGATCTGTGCATGAAATAACCTTGAAGTAGAAGTGCCTCTCTGTTAGTTATGTATTATGGGTTCTAAATAATGTATTTGTTGAGGTTGACGGAGCAGCTTCATGAAATAATAATGACAAATAAAAGTAATCGCATTTATGGATAAACAAATCTTGGGTGTGGATTTATGGATTAGCATAGGGTTTAGTAGCCTATTTGGCACTTATGAGCACTGTTTGCTAAATCTGCGCTACATAATGCAGTTTCATGGTATAAACTGTTTCCTCCTTCTTTCCTCTTTCATCTAGAATTTTGCCCTTGGGAAAGGTGATGAAGAGGTAGTCCTCACACTGAAGAGCTTCGCCAAAACTGTAGGAGAGGTGAGTTTCAGTTTTATTGTTTTATGGCTGTGTATTTATATGTGTGTGCTCACAGCAGAAGAGAGCTATGAATGCTAGGTTAGTAGTTGGTTATTTTATGATGTAACAATGGAGATTACACCTCTGCTCCCAGATCATGCTGGTAAAAATGACCTTAAAGAAAAGACCTGAGGTGGATACTGCGCCGCATGAATGGACAGCAGTGGGGGAATAGATTGATGGATGAAGGGGTGTGTGTAAGCTCAGGAATATAAAACAGATGGGCCTGTTTCTGTCAGACACGGGGGTCCACAGGCATGCTCACTCAGCACTCAACAGGATTTAGGACACGGCAATCCACACATGCTATTTGTTTAGAGGACACAGGTATACTGTGTGCTTGACCTTTACCTTCTGATTTCCGAAGAACACTTATGTCGCAATGTCCATCAGGCCTACCGCTGCACCTAATGCTGTGAACTTTAGCATTGGCTAAACTCAGATTAACCTGCATGTCCTCCTGTTAGACGCTGGAGTGCAGCTTGTTGATAGGCAAAGAGAATTATCGCAGGTTTGCTGGTGTGTGCGATATGTGTTCATGTTTCCAATGCTAGAGTTAACAGCAGGTTTTATTTTATTATTCTCTTCAGGAAATGTGCTGTTCCCCAATATGGGCTTGTTATGATTTAGCAGAGTCATTGTCTGCAGTTATGCACCCATTTAAAATATGACTTCACAGCTTGCTGCAGGAACAACCGGGAGCAAATATCACTATTCATATTGAAATGAATTGAAATCCCTCAAGATGTTTGCGGAGAGTACATTTTCTGTTTATGTATTTGTCCATAGATGTTTTTTTTTTAATAACCTGTTTTTTTGTCATCCAGCTGAACTCCCTCCACTCGGAGCTCGCCCACCAGATGGCCGACAGCATGGTTTTCCCTTTGATCCAGTTTCGAGAGAAAGACCTTACAGGCAAGGCCACACCACACGCACAACAGACAGAACACTTTTCATATTTTTATTTATTTGTTATGCCTGCTATCAATTGTCAAGAGTTGAAAAAAGTTAAGGGGAGATGGAATAACAGACGACAAAGGTTCCTGGTCAGCGCCTTTACCACTAAACCACAACACCCCATTATTGTCACATTATGAGCGATAAGTTATCTGGGCATTGCAATAGCTAGATGTATCATTTATTTGATTTGGTTCATTGTTATTTTTTATATATTCTAACAAAACGTCCTTTGCTCTGAATGTTGCAGAGATAAGCACGCTGAAGGAAATATTTAGCATCGCCACTGATGGTGAGTACAAATCCTGACCTATTTAAGAAACCAATAACAATTACCAGTTACTTTTTGATCCTCATGTCCCTTCTCTACTCTCCTGCAGAGCACGAGGCAGCGATGGTCAAATACAGCCGATTGCCCAAGAAGAAGGAGAATGAGAAGGTAGAGTGACTGTGAAGTGCTTCCTCTCTTGAAAAAGCTTTTTCTCATTGAACTGTAGAAGGCCATACGTACAGTGCATTAATGCTTTGGCAGTGCTTTGCTTTCATTCAAATATTCCTCTACAGCCACACTGCAGTGTTTTAGTAAGAGTGTTACAACAACATGCACTATAATGGCTGCTCAGATAACAGTCCTGCTATTTGCTCCCGTTGAATGTGTCAGCATGTCCTCTTGGACGTACAAGATAAATCGTCTTTGTTGCTTATTTGTATGTGTGTGAGACGAGGAAAAGTGTTTGCATGTATGAGTGAGTGTGCAGAGTTTGATAGTGAGTTGATATAAACATTTGCATGCTTATCCTCTCCTTCCTGGACAGGTGAAGTCAGACTTGGTGAAGGAGGTGGCCTACACCCGGAGGAAGCAGCACTCGGCCTCGCTGCAGTATTACTGCGCCCTCAACGCCCTGCAGTATCGCAAGAGAGTCGCTATGCTGGAACCAATGCTAGGCTACACACAGGCACAGGTACTGACCACCATCTGGGTCACAACACATTAGCATATCAGTATTCAAAGTCCTGGGTATGCATCTCCTCTTTGGAACTGATTAAGTTAATAAAGAACAACTGTTAGAGTTCAATATATAAACCAATAAGTATTTTATTCTTTTTATGGAAACAAATAGATTTGTATCTTCTTTTTCTGTTTCCAGCTTTTCAGTAGCTTTACTGTTTCATATTCGATATCAGACGTAATATCTTTGTCTATGTAATATTTTCGTTCACTATTTCGCATTTTATAGTCAAAACAATTAATCTAGAAAATGAATGGCAGATTATCTTTCAATTACATAATTGTTAGTCGCAACCCTGCATGTGACCACATGCAATGTGTCTCTCTACATTTCTATCGCATAGTAATCGAACTGTAAATGTTTAAAGGTCCCATGTCATGCTCTTCCGGTTATTACCCGTCCCCTTGTGTGTTATGAAGGTTTTTATGCATGTAAACGGTCTGCAGGGTCACAAACCCTCAAAGTACACCCTGTAGCGAGTAAAACTCTAACACAGAACAGACCTGTCTATGCTGCCCCAGAACGCCTCGTTGGGGATTTCTCTTTTTCCATTTGATTCTT